CACACACGCACGCACACACACCTTATCTGGAGCCTGGCTTTATCTCACCACAGTTAAATGAATTTCTTTCATGTCATCCATATGCATGCTGAGTGATTTTGTCCTTAGGCTGGTCAGACTTGCACAGCCACTCCAGGACACACTGAGTAATGCGTGGGCAGCCAGAGAGAGAATGGTGGCTTCTTAAGTATGCAGAGACAGGGCGTTCCCTAACCAGCAGGGAGAAAAAAGGGGGGAAAAGGAAAGAGGAGGAAAAAAAAAGACTTGTTTGGGTGTGTCCTTACCCTACATGGAAACTTGTGTCAAACTTGGAAGAAAAACCTCCCCATGACCTCATCATGTTCAGTGGCTGCTGCTGGCACAGTTTTCGTGCCAAAGTTCATGTGAATGTCCTGGATGACTGAGCTGCTCCAGGGCTCAAAATACACAACTGTTTTCCGTTTGTTGCAATTTTTTTTTTAAATTTTTTTTTTTTTACTGTAATCATGTCTTCACACTCACACAAAGCTGGTTGTGTGTGAGCAGCACAGCTGTAGGGGATTATGCATAATTAACACACAATTGGTTACACAGCAACAGCAGAATTATGCATTATGACTTATCCCAGATTAGTTGCTGGACTCATATGCTGCCTGTCTGACTCCTCAATCCTCTCTTTCTTTCCTCCCTCAGCTTTGACGTGAGTCTGACCTGCGGCCGTGACTCAGAGAAGGAGGAGCCCCCTTATGATGTTGCCCTGAAACTCACCGCCCGCTTCGCCGACCGCCAGTTTCTGCGCAGCGCCCGCATCTCTGGGAAATGGATAGGGGAGGAGGCGTCCACCGCCTACTTTCCCTTCATCCCCGATCAGCCTTTTAGGGTAAAAATCATTTTTCTTGTGCTCATGACAATTTCTCATGCCAGATGATTCTGGTACTACATGTTCACAAGAAGGTTTTGATTGTCTTTGTTGGTTCTTGTTGAACACGTGAGGATTATGGGATACTCTCTTTTGGTCCTCCTGCAGACCAGTTAGAAAGTTACATTTAACCCAGATCTCACTTGCTTTGGATCTATTTTGGCCATTATTTCTATGATTTCATTTGTGATTTGGCCCTACAGACACAGTCTTACAACAAGTAAAATTATATTACTTAAACCATCTCATTTCAAAGTGAACCTGCTCAGCAGGTGTGTTTCTAATTGTGCATTGTGAAAGTATTTGCATGTTGTGTAGCTACTGTTAGAATAGTAGATCAGTGTTGAAGCTGGATCTTTACAACAGAAATTAGGAGTAAGAACTTTATTGGAGTCATCACATCTGCATCTACAGAATTACCATGCTAAGTAAAATGTTATTATTACCAAAAGGACTGTTAGCCAGCCTATGAAAATGAGTCCCATTGATTTACAGTGTTATAAAGTGTTTTTATAGCTGGTTTAAAGGTCCAGTGTGTAACATTTAGGAGGCTCTATTGGCAGGAATGAAATATACTGTTTAGAAGTATTGTTTCATTAGTGTATAATCCCCTGAGGAATCCAGGAATAGGAATCTTCATGTTTTTGTTATCTAGAATGAGTCGTTTCTATCTACAGAAGCCTGCCATGGAGTCAGGAAGGACAAACCAAAGATAGGGACGTTCACACCAAAGTTCTATCTTAGTAGGGGAGGGTGAAGCGAGGAAGTTTCACACGGCTAGATGCCACTAAATCCTACACACTGGACTTTTAAGGCCAATGGTACTACACAAAACATTTAATGTACCGTGCAAACAAGGCAGTCAACATAAGGGGCAAAAGGACAACATGCATGCAGGCTTTTTAAAAATCTTTCCTCAAAGCAATTCATATTGTTTGTGCATATGTGCGCCCGCAAAATGGACACCCTGTTTAGTCTGACACCTTTAGATACCTGGCCATTATCTGTGTGAAGTAGGCGTGATTCTCAGATTGTTGGTTTTCTAGCAGCGTTACACAGTCCATCAACCTCTGTTTTTTTCCAGGTTTTTTCAATTTTATTGTCCCATGTAGTTTGTTGGGAGGTTTATAACATAGCGATGTTAAAGCAATGATACATACAATGTACACTCTCGAATAATACTACTATAATATACGTACACTCTCTTTCAGACCCAATCCTAGTACCAGTTTTTTCTTACAATTTTCTAAAACCTTTAAAAAAAAGAAAAGAATCGATTCATCCAAAAAAAGCATAATGCAGATTTATTGCTAACGAAAATATCTGTTCATATCACCCCTAGCAGTAATGTGATTTATATGTGATTCACAGTAAATTGGTTACAATCCTGTTGTCAGGATTACAAGTAATCATCTATGAGAGAGATAATCACATGTTACAACAGAAATGTTGCAAATGTTCTTGCAGTATAGAAATAAGAGACAAACAGGACATGTTTTTTATGCTACATCATAGCCATCTACTGTAAATACAGATTGTATCCTGTGTAGTGGTCTGTTAACTGCATTAGGGTGAGCATCAGCTGTTTGTGTGATGGAGGGAGTGGGGGGTTGAGCAGCAGCACATATGCATTATGAGTAATTCTCATAAGACCTGAGGACTTGCTAGCTTTGCAATCATATCCGCTCTAATAATTCTGAAAATGCACATGAATAATGCATATGGTGTTCATCAAAAAATAGTGAACTGACCAGCTTTGAACAAGATAATTTAACTCTTAAACTTATCAACATTTATACTTAGAGTAGAAATCTCTATACTAAAACTGAAGACACAACAACCACCATGTTTGGCTTATTTTTAGAAGTGATCCCTGCGTCTGGTTATGTAATCTCAGCTCCCTGATAAAGTGTCATTGTTTGTGGTTGAAGCGTGACCAAGCAGGTCAGCACAGTCATGACTCTGTCAAAAGCTGGGGGCTGTCGCGCAGATGGCTTCCAACAAACTGCCTCCTGAATTCAGAGGCATGTGGACAGGCACATGATGTGCTGTGGTTTCAGAGCAGGACGGTGGGTTTCTGGGAGTTCATGGAAACAATCTGCTTCAGGAAGTGGGATCACACCTTCAAGTGTGTTTTCTTTGCTACAAACCATAGGGAAAGATGTTTACACTGATGCATTTTTGTGTTTGGCTTGTTGAGGTCCACCATGTGCAACTGCAAGCAAAAGTGTCATGGACTCACTGTTTTACTTATTTATTAGCATTTTGGTGGTTTGTTACATGTTAAACATATTAGTGGATATTAGCATTAATCCAGATTGTGATTTGGACTTGTTATATAATTTTGTACAAACAGGATTAGCAGATAAATTTGAACATTCCTCTCAAGAAACCCAAAAATTTTGGGTTTAGTAGTTGTTTCCTGTATTTAGTTAAAGCTGCATTGATAAATGTTTTTATATTGAAAATAGTAGTAGTTTAGTAATAACCTCTAAAAACCCCCACTGTACACTACCTGCTCAGCTCCAAACCAACAGCAACTAGTGAACTCAGTGGGACATTTAGCAGCTAAAGAACCAGATTTTTCTGCAGTGCTTTTCATCACTGTAGTAAAGTAGCTTTTTCAAAAGGATCCGCAAATCTATAAATATATTCATTTGATTTTAATTTGTTTTTATGAAGCAGAGATATTGTAAATGCTTGAAAAGAAAATAAGACTTAAGGTGACAAACACTGTCAAAGATATAGTTCAAAATTTTGAGAACATTCGCTTCTTCACTTTCTTGCTGAGGGTTAGCTGAGTAGAGCAATATCATTCTCATCTGTCTGTTAAATATGATGCTGGCTGAACCTATTAGCTTAGCACAAAGACTAGAAAAAACAGCGAAATGGCTGCTGCCACTTTTGATGATTTGTGTCATCTGGTCTTCACCTCCTTCTCTCTATTTTTCCCATCTTTCTGTCCATCTTTTCTGTCTTTCCCTCCCTGCAGATTGAGATCCACTGCGAGCACCAGAGGTTCCGGATATTCGTGGACGGACACCAGCTCTTTGACTTTTATCACAAAGTAAAATCGTTGGCCTCTATCGACACAGTACGGATACAAGGAGATCTACAGATCACCAAGCTCGGTTAACCTAACCCACTCTTCCTGCTCTGCAAGTCGCGTGCGAAGCAAGGACTTGATCACAGATGACCATGCACACATATGCGCCTGTTACGTCATCATCCATAACCCATCATGCAACACTACAGCAGCATAGCAACTGGAAAAAGGCTCCGGCAGTGACAAGTTTGAGTTCTTCTGTTTCATTCACTTCTTTCCATTCCTTTCTATTTGACCAGGATCTGATGTGATGATGCTTTGAGGGTGAATGTGTTTGCTCCATTTTCAGGTTTTTCTCTTTGTAGCCCCAGTTTTGTCAGATCAGGGATCTCACGGCTTATTAATAGCACGTTCATTTTTTATGTTGAATACTTTAGGGATGCTGAGATAGAGGCAGGTGTGGAGTACTTTCAAGGATGGAAAAAAGATTCAGATGTTATAGAAACCAGTTACTCAGGAAATATCTGGCACTTAGCAGCTAATATGAAAGCAAACGGTTGCTTATGGGTAAAAATCTGGTGACTGATTACATGTTTTAATTCTGCAAAAAGACCTTTTAGGATAAACAGGAAACACGCATGTTGATTAAGCTAAAAGGAGACACTGATCATAGTTTTAATTTTTCATCCAACAACAGTGATTAAATATGATGTAGAATTCTGCAGCATTGAACCTGAGCAGTGATAAGATGTTCAATCTGAGCCTTGGCTAATTCCCACAAGGGCAGAAACATGATTTTTCATATCAGATACAACTGGTTTAGAGCAAAATGTTGCAGGTTGTTTGACACGTTAAGATTTGATTTCACTCAAACCAGCTGGATGCGTGTTTATTGTTGCAGTTATGGTCTAAAACTCAATCCTCTGACCACAGTAGAGCGCAGTCTGACACCCTGTTTCCTCAGTGCTGATGTATCTCTAACTCCGTAAGGCACTCCCCTGCCCTCCCTTGGGTTTATCCCAGTTGTCATGGTAACACGCTGCAGTCTCACCGACCTAAATACCCCAAAATGAGGATTATATCATGACATGATGTATCAGAAAGCATCCCATACCGTACACTGCATGTGTTGGTAGTTTTAGTGAACACTGCGGTCAATCTCCTGTAGAAAGAAAGTCCTGTGTGGGGAACAGGAAGTAGAATTAAGACTGTGGTGGGCAAGGAGAGTGAAGAAATGGCTTTTAAATTAGTTTGAAAATTGGACTCTGCTCTCTGCTGTCACTGAACACATCTGTCTCATGCAAACCTCCTCTGAATTGTTATTTCTAAAACAATATGCAACTTATTCTCATAGAAAACACTCGCTTCGGTACATATTTAGAAGAAGTTGTGCTGTCAACTCAAACTAATATCCAAAACCTTCTGTCGCATTCAACAGTCAGGTGGTTGTTTGGAAGCAGAATCAGATCCTGATGGTATTTTGAATGTATAGTATTCATGTTTCTACAGTAGCATAGAAGATATAGTGATGCACAACATTATTACTTAATGTCACAGTTTTTTGGTGGGATGGCTGGTGCTGTTATAGTCAATATTCAGTCCTGCAGTATGTCTTATGTGTTTTATGGCGTTAGTGAATCATTCCACATCATGAGTGTCTCGTCCACACTGAGCAGATAGATGCAGGTTTTTTACAAGTCTAATACAGTTGTGTCTTAAATGCATTACACAGTTTTGTCTCTATAACAGTTTCCACTCTAGTAGAGGTTATCTGCAAAGCAAAACTCACAGTATTAAGAGTATTATGTCTTATGTTACAATGTTTACACCTCCTACAGTATCAGTTGAACACATACAGTAGAACTAGCTAAGAGTTTCACTGCGTAGATTTCTGGGTACCACTTTCTACTGTAATAATGGGTTTATAAGATGTATCTTATGGCTTCTTTAATGAATAATGTTTTACTTAAGAGCTATCTTTTGGGGTGGCCACATCTAAAGTGATGTTACAGATGTTAATAAATCATCAAGAAAGTTTCCTGAATTTCTCACTTTATCACAAAACATCAAGTCTTTGATTGTCAATGTGGTCTGTATGAAAAACGACAAAGACAAAGTGAGTGTCAAAAACTTTTCAACTTGTCAACCCAAAAGTTGTCCCTATTAATGAGTTATATGATCTGGAAAACCATGAATCAAGCCATCATTTACAACTAATAACCCCTTTGTAACTCCCTAAATGGTGAGTTATAAAGTCATTAAATAGCTGACGTCTCTGGAGACAGATGATGTAGTTCATATCAAAAAGAAACTGAATGCATGCTCTGCTGTGTCATGGTTCGTATCCACTTTTTAAGCAGCTGGACCCAGTGAAGAAGCAAAAAGTAGTTATTGGTAGATTGTCTCACAAGGCTGCACAGAAGTACCATTAAAATGTTGACATTTCTTACACTTGACATTAACAAGCTAACGAAGGTTTCCCTTCACGTTTTTGCTGCTGTGAATTTGGAGTAAGCCATGACATCTGTGCAGAACAGTTGCACTGACTTCACTGCAGGGCACTCGGTAATTGATGCTCACACTAATGAAGCTTTCTGAGCAAACGTTTGAAGAAACCTCTTTGTTTAACATCTCATTACTGTCTGTGCACAGTGAGCTGCAGCTGTGTGCAGCATTCAGCAAAATACAGAGAGTTTGCTTTCCGTACATGCATGCACTGAGTACTTATTAGCTCCTTTCATGTAGCAATAAGGTTGCTGCTGCGAGACGGACTGCTCCGGAGCAGAACTTGTTTTCTCCTGGTCTGTCAGACAAGGTCTTCCTCAGTTCCTTGTTTTCGCTTGGCACTGCGCTGGTTTATTTTGGACACAAACAGGAAATGAGGACAGTTCGGTATAAGAGGGCAGTGAGGAGTGTAGTTTGAAAGGAAGTGAGCCAGTGTGATGCGTCATTACCCCAGTGTTACAACAGAACAAATGTGTACAAATAATGTGTAATTGTGGTGACAGGGTGTGTTTTTTGGATGCTGTTTTTGTGTTCTTTCTATTAACCGGTGACCATTTGTAACGCTACAGTTTCCTGTAACAACATGTTAATATGCATCATGTAAAGAATATGAGAATAACTCAGCAGTGTGTTTCATGGATGTGGAAACTAGTGTGTTAAAGTGTAACACAGGTTCATGTTTTTGGCTCCTCGGCTGTCACACATGGAGCCGAGCCGGCAGCAGTTAGCAGCATCGACAGCGGCAGTGCTGCTGCTGCTGCTGCTGCTAGGAATTATGGGGGAGGGAGATGAACAATTCAAGACTTCCTGAATTAAAGGGCTCGAACCAGGGAGCATTTGTGTGTGCGTGTGTGTGTGGGAGCTGAGCTGTGTGTGTGTTTTGGCTCAACACAGCACAGTTTAACTCTGCATCAGCAAATAGCTTTTTGGACTGTTGTGGGTTGTCCAGCTGTGTACGAGCACAGTGTGTTTTAGGTTTTCTGCACAGCTGGATGATGAGCTGATGGTACTTTAGCTTACTTACTGGTACTGGTGCACTTTAAAAAAGGTGTTGTGTCCACCTAAGGGACGCACAACTGCTGAGTATTCCAGTATAAAAATCAGTTTCGGTACACGTGCTTAGAAAACCTCAACATATATTGTGTTGCTTCTTGTGTTACACAACAGGTCCCAGTTCCTGATCTCCTAATGATCCCGCATATTTGGAAGAACAATCCTGGGAAACATTAATTCAAATCACTACTATTTTAAATGTTCTTCAACCCTTTAAAACTGAAAAAGTGAATGTTATTCCCCTACTGATTGTAATCTGATGATAAATACCCAGGTAGACATGCTGTTCATGTTCACCTCGTTTATTTAGAATCCATTCTTTATATAAAAAATAAAATAAAAATAGACCAACCGTCCTATCCTCAGTTAAAACCAGAGGGCGTCTGATATAAGAGAAACAGTTTATCTGACCCAGGTCTGTATGCTACCCCTGCTTTTGGACTTTGGATGTACATATTTACGAATGTGGTCTCTCTGGCTCCGTTTTTACATGAGGAATACCAAGCTGAGTTACAAGCAGAAAGCATTTTGTTGTGCATGTAAGCTAGTACCTGGCATTTTGTATACATGAAAGACTGAGGTGTTATATTGCCAGTTTTCTTTTGCTCCAGTCAAGCATGCTGTTTCTTTTTTTTTTCTCATCTACTGTATCAGGTGTGTTTCAAGGGCAGAGTTCCCCTTGTGGTTGCATTTTGTTTTCCTTTGATCTGTTTACCTTTATAGCCTAGGATTCCAATTTAGTATTTACCAAATTAAAATCTTTGAAAATTATGATAAACAAAGCAATATTATGGACTAAAGTATATAAATCATGTTGTCCCCCATGACTTTTAATAAATATAACAACACAATGATTTTCTAAAAAGTGCTAAAACCTACATGACTGTTGTGAGAGCAACTACATGATGATGTCCATTTACAGAATTAAGTGTCCTCTGAGTAGAAGTAGGCTGATCTGTTGCTAACGTATTGTGTGGTTGTACAATCATTATGATTTAATATTTATTACGGTGTAACCAGCAGGGTTGTGTGTGTGTGGTAACGTCATACCTACTGTATTGGTAACGTACTATTTTATGCTGTTTATATGAAGGCATCTTGAAAAGTTTTTTATAATGATGAAAGTGTTTCTGTGGTTCTGGCCTCTGACATGTACAAATATTACATATTGTACTTTTCTGTATGACACAAAGGAAATGTGTGAAATGAGTATTGGATCAAAGATTATTTTCTTTTTTTAACTGCAAAACAATGCTAACCATCATTTTGTGTGTTTTGGGATGTACCAAGTCTTAAGATCACCAGGGTGTTGGCTTTTGAAAGTCTTTCATGTTACCAAGCATCATGTTGGCCCCCTCTGTTGGCTGTTTTTCAGCTGAGCAGCTTTTTTGTGGCGAACATAAACAGGAGCACTTGCATTTACAACACGTTGCAGATTTAAAAAAAAGAAGATCCTGATTTTGTGTCTCATTAAGGATGTGCACTGGACCAGTGTTTAGAAGAAGACATTCCACCATTGTGTTAGACCTCTAACCTCCAAATGTTTGTTTCCTTTATGCTTTTGTAAAAACAGCTACTTTGCAAACCAATAAACTTCTCATCTTGGAAATGTCCTTGTGCTCAGATGCTTCACACTGAATATTCACCCAGACAACAAATAAAACGGGTGGCTACATCCCTGTTAAACTACAGTGTGTACGTTTTTATTGAGGGAATTTAATTCATCACTAGTGACAGAAAATCCCTCTGAGGGTTGGCTAAGAAAAAGCACATATTTTATTTTTATTCATTCTTACACTATAAAATATAAAATTTTTACACAGTTTGGTCCATAGCCTGTATTGTGTTTGGGTCTGTATATAAGCATTCGCTACTAAGACTGTTCCTAACTGTAATTATAATAAGCAATGCAATCATATTTCAGGCTATAAATTCTGAACACTTTTAGTTGTGTTATATAACTTTTTAGTTTGAGTTACATTACACTACTTGTAAGGAAAAGTTTTAAAAATGTACTAATCTCACAATAGCAACTCCAGATTCCAGCGCAATCATACAATCTCCACCACTATATTTATTTAAGTTCACTCTTTAAAAAAAGAAGAAGAAGAAAGTTATCATCCAAGGATAAAGAACATCCTTAAAAGGAAACACACAATATGTCAATAAACATATAAAAATATCAACATTGAACGAGGTTCAAACGTGGCATAGAGGCAGCAGATCAGACATTAACCAAAGCCTCATATTCTTAATAAAATAAATACCTTTATAAACTTCAATTTATTCATTTGAACCATGTTTCAAGACAAAAGAAGAACACATTAGAAAACGAAGAATGTCTGACAGGAATGAAAAACAGCACATTTATATTCCAGAGTAAATCCCAAAATCTGAGTCAGAAATGTTCTTTCATGTTTAACAGATGCATCTGAAGTCTCAGAAGAGATGTCTCTTCCTCGGCAGGAGTGGGATCCCAACACGGAGCCGCACCAGAGCCAAGATCAATTATTCCTGCAGATCAAAGAAGAAGAAATTGAGCTCACAGCGATGCTGGAGGCCATTCCCTCCAACTGTGTGTGAAACAACTTGATAATGAAACAGAAGGACGTGCCAACTGTCAGGCCCCTTCATCAGACTGCTCTGCTGCTGCACTTGTAAATAAAGAAGAGGGGAAGCTTGACTCAGGCTCTTAACCGTCATGAAGCCTTCCGTCAGGCTTTCTTTCTTTCTGTGGAAAGACCAAAAGAAGTTGACCTCCTCATTCACAATCTCACACTGAGGTCAAGTTCTGTCACATTTACTGTCCTTGCTTTATAAAGGATGCATTAAAACACATGCTTGAGTAAAGCCTGCTTTCAATTAGGGATTGGATACTTCTCTCTCTGCTGTGCTTTTTTGTAAATGCATTTCAAATTCACTCCAAAAGGTTAGAGATTGGTCTACACAGTCCCCAGGTATACTTAAAGGAGCTCACTTGCTCCACCTCCTGGCCTTTAACTGTTTTATTTAGAGTTTGTAAACAGCAAGTCACACTTCATTGTATTATGATCTAGTAGTATCTATGCATTTTGAATAGAAATGTTTTGTTCATTTTTTATTTCATTTATTTAAATGTAATATTTAAAAATCCACAAGCTAGAAAGCAAAAGAAGAAGTAGGCCTACTGTATTAATCCCTCCTTGGGAAATTCAATACAATTTAAAAGCTGTCTGAAGAGTAAAAAAATCAACGAAAAATTATGTCAGTAAAGTAGGTTGTCAAAAATAGTCAAAGCAGTAGACCTATATAAACTGTCGTAGCCCTCCTTTCTTGGTTGGTAGCGTCCTCCAGTCCCTCTGGTCTGTGTGTAATGAGCAGGCTACTGTTTGTCTTGGTACTGTATGTATGGCGTGTTGGTCTGTAGTGGTTAGTCCGGGGGTTGTATAAGTCTGACACTGTGGGCCTCCCTCTTCTTGCTTTATTTGCTTAGCTTCCCTTAAATCTTGAAAACTTATGGAATCATGATGATGTTACTTGAACCAATAGACAGTAAAAAAAATAGCCTAATATTGCTGTTTGACATAACTAACTACACCAAATACATAAAAAAGGTAGTCCTAAGGCATTTATTAGTTTCTGACTCTTGGAAAGTAAGAAAAAACAGTAAACAAGTGTATCTCTAAACTATCTCTTTCACCAAATCCCACACATTGTGGCTATTGTATGTGATAACTATAATAACTAATGCAGTCGTTTTTCATTCCCATTCACTGAGCCTGGAAATGAACGTCTACACTGACAACCTCTTACAGTAAATACAGTTACATCTCATACAATCGTAATTATTGTGCACTTTTACCACTTCGTCTGTAGTTTTGGGACTACTTTTTACTGGGCGCATGTAGACGCTGACGCAGTTGACGTTACACGGAAGTAGTGGCGTTTGGTCTGAAAAATAGCGGAAACAAGTTAAAGGGAAACGAGGGCTGGATCCGCGAAATAAGAGGAAACATGTCTTGTTGTGCCGTTGGATGTAAGAACAGATATTCAACAGCTCATGGGCTTCATTTTTACAGGATACCGTCGACGAATACGCCCATTGAAGCAGAGCGCAGACGTTTATGGCTGCGGGCCATTAAACGCTCGGACTGGACCGATGAAATCCTCAGTCACGAAACCATCAGCAACGCTCGTCTCTGCAGTGCTCACTTCATATCAGGCAAGGGTTTCCTCCACTGCTCATCACCCGCACAGCCAACGTGTAGTTAGAAAATGGCAGCAACAACGAAGCGGTCGGCTGTTTCCTAACGAGAAACACCGACAGTAGCAGCGGTGTTAGCATGTGAGCACACGTTAACAAGCCTGGCTGCTCGTAGTTAGCTTTAACCTCACTATTTAACCGACTTTTAATGAATGAATGGGGCGTGTGGGGATATTATATGTGATAGTGACATGTACTTTACACTGTGACTGCACACAGACCATGTGGCCCCGTTATATCATCATTGTACTGACTTACAGGGGAGTCCTCCACGGATCCAGACAACCCAGACTTTGTTCCCTCATTGTTCACCTGTATGGAAGAAGCTTCAAAGAAAAGGGGCAGGTAACCTTGTTCCTTTAGTTTGCTATCGTTTGACTTTTCCAAATGGTGGTAGTATATCTTCATCTATAACTCTGTCTTGGTTGTTACATGTTCCCCAGGAAGAGGAAGGGGGCGGACACATCGAGCTCTCTCACTGCAGTTCATGTGGATCCAACAGACTCTGAGCGGCCTCCGGACTGTCAAGAGGAGCTTTGTACTAGTAAGAGTTTTGCTCTGTAACCCAGAGATCTACCTTTTGTAATGATGCAGAGTTTAGCTCTATAAAGACCTATGGAAGCAGTCTGTGTATAGGTTTAACTGCTGGATGCAGTGTGTCTCCTAGTTTGTTAAAAAGTCAGTTTTCAGTGTGTGTGTTGGAGGTTTCACTCGTGCAAGTTGACAGCAGATGTCCTCTCTGTCCTTTAGACACCCAGCCGGTCTCTGAGGAACTGCGCCCTTCATTGCAGCCATGTGACATTAAGGTGGAACAGAGTCCCGTTCGGGAGGAAACAGAGATCCAAGAGCACCCACGGGTCAAAGAGGAGCAGGTGGATCAGTGCATCAGTCCCAACGTGGAGGCTGATACTTCCAACAATGCTGAACTCAAACGTCCAAAATCAGAACCAACCACTGACTGTGATGTAAACGAAAGCATAAATGACAAAGGGAGTGAAAGTGATGGTTCATCGTCGCCTCGTCCAAGTGATAGCGTTGAAGTCTTTGTGGAACTGGAACAACCTCCGAGAGAAGAAAAGTCTTGCCGTTTTTGTGGTAAAAGATTTAAGAGGGACTCTCATCTTATTAGGCACGTAGAGAAGAGTCACAAAGGGAAGAAACCCTTCAAATGCCTGAAGTGCAACAAGGAGTTTGAACAAAGATACCAGCTCGTTCAGCATATAAGAATTCACACAGGAGAAAGGCCCTTCAGTTGTGATTTCTGTGACAAAACATTTGTTCAGAACTCGAGCCGTCTTGCTCACATGAGGGTGCATACTGGAGAAAGACCATATTTTTGTGCTAAATGTGGGAAAGGCTTTGCCACAAGCAACCATTTCAAACTTTGCAAAGTTCAGAATGAGTGCAAAATCACACCAGAAAAGGGAACACGGATGAGAATCGCAAAGAGGAGAAAGCCTTTAAATGCTTTGAATGCAACAAGGAGTTTAATCGAAAGCACCAGCTAGTTTTGCATGCAAGAGTTCACACCGGTGAAAAACCCTTCAGTTGTGATTTCTGTGGCAAAACATTCACTCAGAACTCAAGTCGCATCGTTCACATGAGGGTGCACACTGGAGAGAAACCATATTTTTGTGAGAAGTGTGGCAAGAGTTTTGCCAGTAGCCATCATCTTAAATTGTGCACAGGGACACAAAACAAAAGCACAAACAAGTCCTTTCGCTGTACAACATGTGGCAGAACCTTTTACACAGATTCAGACCTGAAGGTGCATATGAAGGTTCACGAGTCGTGGAAACGACACATCAGCGAGAAACTGCAAGGGCGGGAGATAGAAGAGAAAAAGCTTAAAGTGGTATGACAGGACATCAGATACTTTCTTCTAAAATTATAAGAATAAAACATGCATCCAGTCATTAGGAACGGCCTTATATTTGTAAATTTGCTGCAATATAGCTGAATAAGAAACTGTATTCATCAGTTTATGTGGATACAATTAAAAAAATTTGTGTTTTATCAGTTATGATTTGACTACTGATTCCTTTTATGTAAAGTCCTCTGAATTGCCTTGCTGTGGAAATGTACTATACAAATAAACTTGCCTTGACATACTACATCTGGTTTACCAAACTCTGAGCCTAACCCTGAACTCTAACCTCACAAAGTGTGGCAAAGTGTCAATAGGTTTTATTCAGTTTTGTCTATTAATCAATCACCAGACTTAAATTTAATTCATGGATGATAAATAGGGGAATCTAACTTTGTATGTAGGCTGTAACCCTACAATACATTTACAAGATTTGTTCAGCCTTGATCTGACGGGGACGAACGCAGGGCTCAGCAACTAAAGATGAAAATATATAGAAGATTTTAAAAATATAGGTCAACATGTAATCTCACAATCTGATCCAGTAATAATGTGTTTGGTGATTTACACTTGAAAAAATGTTAGAATATAACTTTAGATGTACAATTCGACATCTACTGTATTTGGATCTTGCTCAACAGCATTCAGTGGTATCAGTTGTCATGGTAACTGAAAACCTAGAATTAGCCTCATCTCAGGATTAAAACTCAGTTTTCACTAACCCCACTTTATGCAACAGGGCTGTGGAGCCGTCAAGCTGTCCAAAATTACCTCGTTGCAGTAACATATAAACAAATCTAAAGTATTTTTCCTCACAGAAAAGCAAACTAATTATTGTTTCCATCTGAGGAGGAGGGGTCTCTCCAGAGTTTCTCTCCCCAAGCCTCTTCCATTTTTTGCCTGTTGCCCTAAGAATTGTTCCTTGTCCTCACAGAGCTTGGGCTTGAAACATTGTATGTGTTTTAGGTCAAATAAATAACTACATACATACAGTACAAATAATAAACTGGGGGAAAAAAACCAAGCAGTGAGTATGTTCTAATTCAGTGTATGAAACCTGTTCTTTGTTAATAAAACAACTGTAAAATATTGTAAAGAAGGAAAAAACGTTTTGTGTTTAGAAAGTAAAGGACTTTTTTTCCCCCAGGCTGGTAAATCTCTGGATGGTTTATCCTGACATTCTCACCTTAACCCCAGAGCCATCAACATCTAATAATCTGTTACACCTGAATGGCTCTGCCTAACCCTAACCCTAACCACTCTCTGTCCTCTTGTCAGTCAGGGGGGAAGTGAGCCATCCACGGCAGCAGGGGGCGCTGGTGAAAATAAAACGGTGTTATGAAGTTGAACTGAACGCACTAACTCACCCTTTGTCACTTCATATTTGTGAATTTTGACTTTGAATTGACAGTCCGTGTGCCATCCTCCACACACACCGGCAGCGTTAACCGGAGCTGCGTCATGGCGGGGATGCAGCTGCTCAGACTGATGGTCAACCAGCGACTGGCAGCAGCTGCAGAGGAAATCTGTGGGCTTTTTGAAAAGACGATAGCAGAATATCAGGAAGAAGTTGTCCGCTCCCAGAGAGAAATCATTCAGCTAAAAGGGCAACTCGAGCAGCTGACCGTTTTAAAACCTGGAGTAACTTTATTCAGAGCAGGTTTGTGTCACCATGGATGGGAGTCAGCCTCCAGCCGTACAGCGTTCCTAGGCAACAGATTGGCAACACAGGAGATACAGTTGCTAGGTAGCGGTGGTGGTAGATATTTTAGTGGATGTACCTCACAAGTTTATGAGTCAAACTCAAAAATATGTGGAAGAAATCACGGAACTTCATGAACACAAATGAAACTGTAATGGCTGTTAAACGTTGATTCTTCCACCAAATATATATAAATATATACAAAATATATTTGTGTTAGACGTTGCTGGGTTATTTAACAGCTTATAGCATGTGTCTTCTCTGTCTTTTAGACACCCAGTCAGTGTCCGAGGAGATGTTGCCCTCCCTGCATGCAGACCAGCTTCCCATTGTGGAGAAATATGACAACCAAGACTTTCATCAGGTCAAAGAGGAGCAGGTGGATATCTGTATTCTTCCACATCTGAAGGATCACTCTTCTGCGGATGTAAAAATCAGACTGACTGAATCACAAACAACTTTCAGCAGTATATCTGTGACATTGAACAGTGACGACGAAGGGAAAGGGGACGGCAGCTCCTCCTCTTGCGGTCCAAGTCACAGTGACGATGCTTTTACAGGACAGGAACAAGCCAAGGAAAGTAAAAAGGCTTGTCGTGTCTGTGGGAAGCAGTTTAGCAGGGACTCTGATCTGCTCAGACACATGGATCAGATTCACATCGGAGAGAAGGCCTTTAAATGCTCCGAGTGTGATAAGGAGTTTGCTCGTAGGGACCATCTGGTGGTGCATTTAAGAATTCACACAGGCGAAAAACCACACAAGTGTCCTTTCTGTTGGAAATCCTTTTCTCAAATCTCCAATCTCAATGTTCACTTGAGGAAGCACACAGGGGAGAAGCCCTATTATTGCAAGTCGTGTGGCAAAATGGTCGCCCATAGCTATCACCTCAAAACTTGCGGTATGACGGAGCGAAAAGGGGAGAAGTCATTTTGCTGTTTGGTTTGTGGTAAAAAATTCCACACGGCTTCAAATCTGCAGGCCCATACCAATATCCATGAAGCCAGGAGATCCTATAGAGTTGTGTAGCCTTTCGCCTGCTCATCAGACTGAATTCACATTTGTTGCGCTTCACTTCATTTATTATTTGTTATTCATTATTTGAATCTCAGAACAAATAAAACATGTAGGCGCTGATACAGGTTAGCTCACACTGTCTGATGAACAACATGGAAAACAATTAGAACTGAAAATGTCTTCTGTTTCAGACTACAAACAAAAGAGTACAGTGTGGGTGCAACACACTTTGGTTTGGTGTTTTAAAGGAACATGTACCTGTTTTAACTCTTGTAACTGCTCACACTTTTTATTGTTAATGAAATAAAATATCTTTTAATGTAAGTATTTTGTAACGATGAAGAGCTTTTTGTGATACTTGTGGACTTTGAAGTGTATGTCACGATGAAAAGTGTGGATCCAATATCCCCTTTTAGCAGAAACTCCACCTAATTGTGGTAAATTTATTTTGCATCCTTGCCACTAACAATTGTTTTGCTCTGCACCCCAAACAGGACACATATCGGGTTAGGGAGGAGCCCATGATATTCCACTACCATAGCAGACAATAGGCAGCCACACTGATTACGTATCTACACTGTTACCCTATAATGAACCATAGAGTTGTCTATCACTGGGATCTATCACAGAGACTACAACACACTGTATCTAAATTCCTAAATGCCCCATTACATTAACCTTTCAGACTAAATGCCTACTACTGCTACAACTTTTTATCTTCTACAACTTATAACTATGAACAAATCCTAACTAACAGTACAGAAGCAGACTAAACAGTTTCAGGCTGAAAGGAGAGGTGTAGGCTCCACTCTGCCCAGTAGGTGGTGCACTTTCTATCCACTGTGAACAACATCGAAGATCGTCTATTTTCAACAGCTGTCACTTTCTAGCCTGCAAAATGGACTCCGGGTATTTTCGCAAGTCTTCGCGATGAGTGAACTAATCACAGTAGCTCGAAACTCGTACATAGTGAGAGGTCTTCGCTTTTTACACGTCCCGTTGAGGGAGAGCGATGACAGAGGATGGGAGCGAAGCTGCGGCACTGGTAGAGAAGAAGTGACGAGAAGGCAAAGTGAATGAGTGTTGGTAAATAAAACAACCGGCACTTTGTGTGTCTATATCCATCTGTTAGCTCCAGTTAAACAACATTAATGCTCGGTTGCCATTGACGGGTAGCTCGCGTTAGGCCAGGTACGAGGTGCAGTAGCTAGCCGGTGGTAATGAAAGCTAATCACTCGCTGTGTTGTAACAAGAGCGGAGTGAGATTTGGGGTGTAGGTTCTGCACCGTGCTTTAAACCTAACGAGCAATGAATTATGCATAAATAGCTAGTTTTATTTCATTAAATTGCCACCTCTTTTGCGAGTGTTCGCATTTTATTAACAGCTTGCGTTTACATGGCTTCACATTTGAATGTCCCTGTCGTGGAATGACACCTGTCCGTCCAGAGGCTGGAGAAAATGGCAGGATGTCAGTGGATGCGACTGTTACATAAAGGCAAATAGTGATGCTGTTATCTGTTAAATGAACTACCAGTCATGAGGATTTCAGTCAGCACGGTGAGTTTCTTTTCGACACAAGGGAGCAGTTGTTACGTGTGCATGTTGGAGGTTTAATACAGGCACTAATCCATGATCCTGAAGTGCTGCTGTAGGCTTTGGACCGCTCTTCTAAGTAGCACAAAGCTGCGGATAATGTTTCCTGTATCAGGTAACTGACTGCGGACAATGTCCAGGCCACTTTTTCCACACCAGGATCAGGCAGCAGGAGGGGAGTCATAGAGCTGGTAATATCTCAACTACATGTTAATATTTGAGAAATGATGTTTAAGAGACACTTAAAGAGGATATGTGAACAGATGAGATGGAGCAATAGATTTATAAAGTTCAGATTGTTTCTGCTTTGCGGAACAATCATGCGTGCAGGTTCCTCTTTCTTTAATACACTCAGCTGAATGTGTAAACCAGTAGTGCCTCCCCTTCAAACCAGGAGATTACCAGTTTAACTAACTTAAACTTACATGCTGGCTTTCTGAGGGACTTTAAACTTTGGCAGACGTTAAACGGATACCTATATATTCCAGTATTGTCTCTGATGTATGGGGTTTAACACTTATGATATGTGATCATTACGTTTGTATACAACCATCAGAACCAACATTACAAAGTGCTTCACGTAATAAGAGAGCAAAACAGGATATCGTTAAATTAAATTAAAACGCAGAGTGTGTAAAACTAAACCGGAAATAATAACAGTAGAATAATAATGGTACAAAAGTACTTATGCTCTCCAATTCAAGCTGTTTTGGCCATCAGTCTTTTCCATTAGTTGCCTTAAAAGTAATTAGGAAACCAAAAGCAATTAGCCAGCTGCTGTAAGGATGCTACAAAAAGCTCAACAGTCTACATCCAAAGGAAAAAATAATTCTGACAGTGGTATTTCACCAACATTTCTTTACCTAAAAAAATAGCTCCTTTTCCCAAAAATCGATTGTTCATGTTGACCCTCTTGCTGTTCTTTTCACTGTCTTCTCCCAGGTGCATGAGGCCTTCAGGTCCTGCTAAGATAACCCATGGAGCCAGACATCATGCCCTTGCATGCCTCCTCCCCCCCTCCACTGGATGATGATGGAGATGGGGAGGCGGGATCAGAGGAGGACGAGTTTGGGGACTTTGGGGGATTCTCTCTCGGGGTGTCTTGCTCGCCTCCTGGCTTTGCTGATCCTACTGATTCATCATCCAGCCTGGGACAGCCTTCCTCCGACATAAAGCCAGCCACCCGTCCACCCAACTGCAGCTTTAATAACCCAATTAAACAATCCCAGCCCACATCCACTGTGAACTCGGAGTCTGGCAGGGGCCAAAAAGACGCGGGAGGACAGGATTATAACACTGAATCACGTGTGCCCCTCACAAACGGCTATTCTGAAAGAGACCACCACTCTGGGACCAACATAGCCTCCGCAGTGGGTGCGTGCTCTCCCAGAGAAGAGACAGGGTTTGCTGATTTCACTGTGTTTACAGAGCAGGCAGCACATCCCTGGTGCTGTGGCTTCACTCCCTTGGGCAGCACAGAGCAATGGGATGGCACAGCGGTAGGAACAAACTCTTCCAACAGACAGGGTGAACAAATCTGTGACCCAGGACAGGAGGTCATTATGGACTCTGAGCCCAGACCTCATTGTGCAGATAAGGCGAAAGAAAAAGTTTGCACTATGGTCAAACACTGTGAGAAAAGAGATGCGGCACTGGTGCTACCATCTCAGGACCGCCACCAGCCTCAGGAAGCTGCAGCAGCTTTGGATTTTCCACCTGAGGAGCCTCATTCTGGGGAGGAAGAGTCAGGCAAGCCCGGGGACAGCCAGAGGGGACGGAGGCATGGTTTTAACTCTTTACAAACCACGGAGGTGCAGGAGGATGGGGAGGCAGAAGAAGGCAGGGACGATCAAGAAAAGAGCATCTCTATTAACCCCCAAACATTCAGTGTGTATGAGTCTGCTTCTGAGGACCTGGCATCCTTCTGTGAGGATTTGTCATTCGAGGGTCCTTCTTTGGATTTGGAACCAAACGTTTCATCTCTTGCTTCGGAGGATCAGACTGACTGGGACCAGACTGATGACGAAGAAGAAGAGGTGGGAAACTACAGCAATTCTGACTCTTTTGTCGTCAACAGCGTGGAAAATCTCCCACAGTCTCAGGCAGAGAAGGGTTTTCATTATTGCGACCAATCTGCGACTCAGGAAACTTCTGCTACCTCCAACCAATCACAATCAGGAACACATACAGAAGACAGTTTTGCAGACTTCAAAGACTGTAGTTTTGAGCATCAAAGGGACCAAGGACATGTCCAAACAGCCGATGAAGGAGTGCAGAGTCTAGGAAACCTCCCACCGAGTGACAGCTTTGCAGATTTCTGCTCAGCGCCCATGCAGGAGGATGGAGATGGGTCGTGGGCGGAGTTTAAGGTCCAGAGGGCTCAGGAGGAGGGAGGAACTTGGACACAGTTCAGAGAGCAAGTCAGCAGCCTGCAGACTGATGGGAGCACTCAGGAGGAGACGGGCAGGCCAGGGCAGGATGGGGTTTGCAGGAGGAACAGCTGTCAGGTGGGAGACATTACGCTAAAAAACTTTGTCGTGGTTGCTTTTTATGACGATAATTAGCCGCAAAGAACATTTCATTCTTACTGGCAAGAAGTTGTTTTCAGAAAATCTATTTTTCAGGGCTTTTTAATGGAAGTGCTTCACAGGCAATAACATGACTACAGTAACATACATATTTTCAACATTTAATTAAAAAAAACTAACCCTCTCCCTTTGTCTTTCCATGTCATTATTTTGTTTGTGCTTCAAAGGCAATAAAATGACAGCAGTCTGTCAAAATGTCTTCACATATTTGTTATATTTTGATTTTAAACAACTAACCCTCTTTTTTGTTTTCCTGACTAGGCGTCCCTTTCTTGCCGTGTCCAGCAGCTACTCCTGGCCAGTTTTCCAGAGGGAGAGGTCCCAGCTGCGGAGGGTGAGGAGGAGGTGCTCAGCCTCGGTGCTCTGCTTCACGCCCGACACCTCCCTGAGAGTGAGGAGGAGGAGGAGATACCAGAACTCTGTCCCGGATCTCAGTGGTGAGGATGACTTCCTGGCAGTGGCGGTGATGATGATGATGGTGGTGGATAAATTAACAAACAATAGTTTGTTTTGAAGTTTCAAATTATTACAACACAAATAGTGATCTAAGCATATCACATCTATGACATTTGGTGGTGGTAAATTCCTGATCTCTGGAAGGGCATTCCTGGGAATAAAATAGCCAGCACAATACAGAATTAGGATTTGAATAAATAGAAGGAAAACAGGGTAGTAAATGTTGACTCCACCACTGAGTCTCAGAGGAAAAAGACCGACTAAAATAAAAAAATCATCAACAGAGATTCCAAGCAAAAAGTAATAATAGTACTGTGAATCTCTGGGAATTTAAAAAAAACAGCACTGCAGTAGTAGAAAAAACACATATTGAAATGATCCACAAAACATTTTTTATGCATTTTTCAGCACAGCAAACACAAGTCTGAATGGAATGGAATAATAAGGCCAATAAATATTTTTTAATAAAGCAGCCATCTTGTTCAGATCAGTGCTGAGCATGGTCTGCTCAGTATAATTGTTATCAGTAATAACACTCTCATTAATGGCTGGGAGAAATCTACACTTACAAATGAGGTGATGTGAAAATAGTTTGGTTGTTTCTGAACTAGAAGTTTTCCCTGTCTCTTTTTTTTGTCTTTTGAATACTTCCAAATGCTGCTTTGTCATTTCCTCACCATTTCCCAGGATTCAGCAGGGGATGTGGTGGCCACCTCAGGACCTCCACAGTGCAGTTGGCCTCAAGTTTCAGTGGGGAGGTTCTCATACAAACAGGACTCTGCTCAGGTGCCTCGGCATGGACACAAGGAATATTGTGAGTTTGTCAAAACATAAAAACTACTGTGTATCAGATTATTACCAGTAATTGAGTAAACCATTATAATACTACACTAACATAAACTCTTTAAGAGTGAGTCTAAGGCCAGATCAGTGTACTTGATTGGCAGCATATTCTGAATTAAAACAGGACAAACATTTTGCAACGACAGAATTACAACTACTGTTATTGAGTACATTAGACTGTTGCACCAACTGTAAGTTGCTTGAGATAGAAATGTATCTATCTAGCCTATTATTTTAAGGCTGTTTTCATTTAGTGTGTCTTTGCCTTTTTGAAGGTTTTCATTGGCATGAAGAAGCAGCCAGTGGCTGTACCGGCTTTTGCATCCAACCTGGTGAGTCACCTGTAGAACTCAATTAATTTGGTCTTACTGGGGAGAAAAAGTGTTGTAATGGTGTAGGACGAGCAGTTCCATTGGTCATACGTTTTATTCTCGGCAGTTCCAAACCTCATTTTTTTAATTTCCATCCCATTCTTCCACTTCACTCACCAGGGAATGCTAGAGCCCACCAAAGACTCTGTGTCTGCTGTCTGTTCTCCGGGACACACAGCGGTCACAGCACAAGCTCCTCCAGTACCCAGGGACACAACGGACCCCTCAACAGATTCAATGCAGGTAAATTGGTCTTTTTGATTTGACTTATTACACCTGTATTAGATTCGAGCACAAGAGATTAGAGAAGGGTACATGCAACTACTATGTGGGAAACAGCCACCACTGGATATGACTAAAGACATGACTATTAAAAGACCAGTTTGTAGGATTTAGTGTCATCTGGGGAAGTTGCAGATTCCAACTTACTGAATATCACTCACCTTCTAAGCACGTAGAAGAAACTAATGAAAACATAACGATTTCTATATTCAGGTGATTATGCACTGATGCAAACATCTCTGTGAATATTATGTCCCATTTCTGCCAGTAGATCCTTTGAAATGGTACACACTGGACCTTAAAGGTTGCTTTACTGTTGTATTCTGCTATTCTGCTAAGTGGGAGTTAAATGCTGTTCTTCTTCTTCTCTCTGTGTAGGAGGCGCTCCCCTCCAGCCAGCTGGACTGGAGCCGCCACGGCCTTAGCAGCTCTCAGGACGGTACGTCCCCTCGCCGAGCCCCTCACTTCTGGGGCCGGAAGTAGACTACAGTATCAGCCATCCCCTACCTGGCTTCTTCTAATAAACCAAAACTTTTGAGCGTTTACTCTGGGCTTACTCCTCTGGACTCCTCCTCACTTCCTCCAGGGCATGTTCTGCTTCTTTTAATTTACGCTGTGTTTCCCCTCTATTCATGCAGCAGTAGTGGGTGACCACAACATTTCATCATTTAAATGAATTTCCACTCATGAAGAACAAAGAATAGAAATCATGTTGTTGTCATTATGATTCCAAACAAGAAAACTTTCGGAGATATAACTTCCAACAGACCCAAAACTGGGACTCAAACAGAAACATTACCCATCAGTCACAATTATTCCAAAACAATAAAAGGGGAAACACTGTACTGGCTTCCCTTTTCTCCCCCCTTCAGCTACTCTAGTGTCTACCTTTACCTGCTGCCAGCTTTTACAAAGAATTTATCTTCAGTATTTATCAGTCCCATTTGTTATTGGGAAACAACCATTTGTTATTGGAAAACAATGTAATGTGGGTTTTACCCCATATGGGTAAAGGCTACTGAAAACAAGATGTGCATACTGTTATTGTGCAACATGATGATTCTGACCACAAATCTGAGGGCAATGCTAAAGTAATATCACATTTGAAAAGCATTCAATACAAGACTATATAACTATCAACTCATGGAGCATGGTCATAACATGTGCCTTGTTGATTTAATGGATGTGTTTATTTAAAGCATTTTAATTTAATTTATTGGCGGCCACTGTGGAGGTTGAACTCTTCCAGTGTTAATACTCTGTGTGCCATTTGCTCACTGCATGGCTGTATTACGCACTTAGACTTTAACTATGAATCATGACAGCATCATCCAGTTTTTGGCTTTATTTGACACTGAGGTCTCTTTATATTTTGATGGAAACTATTTATTTCTTCATATTTGCACGTAAAGGACTCTTTGAATTTAAAAAAAATAATTTAAAAAAGAAAACAAAGACAAAAATATTATAATTTGATTTAATCACAGTCAGTAGGGTTTAGATCAATATTTGACCAGAAAGGATTTATCATAAAACTTGAATTTCAATTTCAATTTGTTACAGTTATGTAGGAAATGACTGTACATGGAGTGTGTTATATATAATTCATGGAGATAATAAAGCTTTATATATGGATTTGTTAGTCAATGAGAGATGGTCAAGTCTAGCTAGATCCAATACAACACACACACACAAGAAAGACCAGAAAAAAGCATACACAAATCCACAAATAAGATTGTGTTTGTTTGGCTTGTAACTGCAGATTTCCTGCTTCTAGTAAAAAAAAAAAGTTAACGATCTGACTTTACATTTCAGGACAGTGATAGACAACAAACTTTGCAGCACATTTTGCGGCTGTGTGTGAGACAAACAAAAGTCTGAAGATTTTTTTAAGGAATAAAAAAATTTGCAACATAAATTAAAAAGAAAAAAACTACCTGCTATACCGTAGGAACTGTTTGTTTCACTGTCAGTGCCATATTCGGTATTGCACTCTTGAATTGTCAGCATGCTGACATGTCTCTGGTTTGTAGCATTGCAAGCTGGAAGGAGTTGAGCAGCTGATAAACTACATTAAGAGTCTCATAAACTCTACCAGTAATTTCCTCTAAGACACCTAGATGAGTTGAGTCCACAGGTAAAGACAACATTTAGATTCAACAAAAGCTCCTCCAGGGTTAAAAAACCTTATGTTCTGTGTTTGACAAGATTGTTTTTGTTCAGTTTTGAATTTTACTCATTTTCAGTGATTAGGTGACATCAAGTAATTAATACCAAACATGACAATAGAATAGTGTTGTAATAGTAAAGTATGCACAGCAGAGGGCAGTGTATTCTCTGTGGGTGGCACAGCAAAAGGGTCTAAACACATTTGGTGTATTTACTGTATTTAAAAATTGACAAAAGAATTTCGTTAATTTAAAATCAAACCATGCAATCACTTATACTAAAAGATTAAATATATGCACTTGTATGTATATAAAATACTATTATATTTATTATTTTTTCATGTGGTTGGTTATATGAAATCTGAGGTTTTTATATATTCTATGATTAGATCATAAACATGTTGGGGGGGTAATTGTCTTAATAGAAATAAATGATGTATCTTAGACATGATTTCACAATTAAAACATGAGAAAAATGATAACAGAGCCAAACGTAAGACTGCAGTAGTGATTACTGCTGTCACTTTATGCTGCTTTTATTGTTTACTCCCTGTGCACTGATGCATATACTGTATGAGCATGCAGAATAGGATAGAGGAGTGTTTATTTCCAGTTTGAGAAAGAAAAGTCCACTTGTCAGTATTTAATTGCCAATTAAATGTGTCTCTGCAACAACTTTCTGTAACTGCAGTTACAGTATTTCATGATGAGTTGTGCCTTTATGCCAGCAGTTGTTTTCTAAAAAGTTTTCAAATGATGAAATTCTCTTTGGACCTATAGTCTGTTGTTTTTTCTTCAGGTTTACTCCTCAAATCCAGACTCAATGCACTGCAATAAGGACTTAAATAAATAAGTTGCTAAATCAGTTGACCCTTTCTGTTCTGCCTGTCTTTCCTCAGCTTTCTTTTCTTGTTGGAAGCTGCATCACTTTTCTCTGCTGAATGCAAAGTTGGAGTATTCAAACACCTTGTTGTAAAGTCTGAAGGTGGTTTAATTTAAGTCTTGTCTAGCTTAGGACAGCAAACATTTCTGATGACACGTGACTACTAGATAATTGTTAAGTGTTAAGCAACATCTCAAAGGATTAAAAGGTTTCTCAGCACAGTCTGAGACCTTATTTAACTTTCATAACAACTAAATCAAACACAAGTCTGACTTTAGAGTGTCTGGTTTTATATTTTTGCATATAATCAAGGTGAAAGTCATACTTTTATCTATCCAGCTACAACAACATACTGAGGCTGTGTGGACCACCTGTCCCATGAGTCATGTTATTTCCACATGAATGTTGTTCCAGTGACCTCACGCTAGGTGCTGGCTTGAATATTTCATGGTTAAGGGGCCTCTGAATCTGAATCTAAAAAGAAGTTGGATAACAACAGCTTTGCATTGCTTTGATGAGCTTTGTTTGCTGTGTCTGTCACTCTCTCGGTCTTCCCTGCTGCTACAGTAAAAGGAGAAAACATCAATCAAAAGCAGATGCTCCTCCTTTTATGAATTAAAAATAAATCAAGCTCCCCCGTCCCTCCTCACCCCACAACAATGCTCCTCAGCAACTGTCTCCCCTTGTTAGCACAGGCTGCTCTGCTCTCAACCTGGATTATTTTGGTCCTGAGGAGGAGAGCAGATCCTGCAGCAGCAGCTGTAGCAACAGCCCTCCTCCAGGTCAGCATGTGAAACTGCAAAAATGTACATTTTATTGTCAGTCATGAGGTTTATGTTATAAGAGACAAATACAATGATAATACTAAAGCAATATATATATTTACACTGGTAAATTTAGTCTGTCCTGTAGGTGTGTAAGTCCTTATGACGCTCATCGAGTGCTTTGTCCCTTTTATAACATGTTTGGTGTGTGTTCTTTATTATACACACTCACATGTAAAGGAGTTGACCGTGAGCTGTATGAGTTCACCATCAGCAAAGTGGAAATCGACGCAAACAGTAGCCACATGGAGGACACGTTGAATCGCCTGATGTCCACTGCGGAGAAAACCAGCACGACAGTCAGGTCAGCCCAGTTGTTCCATCCATGTGTCATGTTTATTTTATTGTCCTTTTAAAGTATTAATACAATGAAACAAAAACAAAAATCTGAATCAAACACAGGCTTTTCTTACTGTATGAATAATGCATCATCTTGTCTTCTTTGTATGTCTCACTCTTTAATATCAACTCACTGTGTGTGTGTGTGTGTGTTCATTAGGAAACCTCAGCAGGATGAAGAACTGAGTGCGGAGGCTGTCAGGATGATCTCTGGACTGCCTAACCTGTCTTTCATGCAGGCCAAGGTCCTCATGTTCCCAAGCATCCTCGTACCCAAATAATGCTGTTCCCCAAACTTACAGTGATGTGTGTGATTTCTGCACACATTCACAGTGAATACTTAATCTGCCACCTCTTGTAGTTAATACAGGATGCAATAAGGAGACCAAAACAGTGAGTTGATCTTCCTGCTTTGGTCAAAATGCTCCACCTGCTGGCTATCTGCAGTCTTTAGCCTTAAAGATGTGGCTCTTTGTCAGTAGAGAGGCAGAATGAACTCATATGTATCAACTTATTTATTCATTTCCATGTGAAGTGCAAAGACGCAGTTTTAATGTTTGTTTTACACCAAGCTTTACTTTTTTCAAAGTCGAGTTGTTTATTTTGGTCTGAATGGACCCATACACACACACATGTTCACCATAGAGACTTTTACAGCAAACCGTCCCACTTTAATCCTGCTTTATTATGTATCAGTGGTGTAGGAGATGAAAGAATGTATTTTCTGGATGGTTTGACCCGGAGTAAGTAAAGTGGCCTTCATGAAGATGTGTGAAGTATGAAAGAATATTTTCTTTTTAAATTCATTTCTTAACTTCTGTTTTTATCTTAAGACTTGTAGACCGTCAGCCAGTAAAGCTGGTTAATTGGCTATTTATTACAGTTTTAACCTGTTTTCCCCCCCACAACAAACAATATTTATTTTCACAACCTACAGTATGTCAGTAATTTCACTTGATTTGGAGGTAAATAAACACAAACTGCCTCAGGTTGTCTCTTACATGTATTGTTATTTATGTCAGTCAGGGTCTTTTATCCCTACAACATTAATACTAGCAACACCTTCACACACCCTCATACATTGATTCATTCACACCAATTACTGTTCACAAAAATCAATCTCTCACTTGTAGTGTTGTGTTGAATTATCTTTAGTCTGCGTGTTGCATCTACTAACAGTGTTCCCTCATGGATTAGAAATATTTCTCATCATGCATTTTGACATAGAAATGCTTTGTATGGTGATCTCTCTAACACTTAATGATGCTGTACAATTAGATATTTTAGGGCTTTCTCCAGTTTTCTACCAGCTTCATTAGGTTATTTATCCATTAACTGCTTTATAATGCTTTGACTGTTCTAGAAAATATAAATGGATATTTTTAGCCAGATGAGAAGCTTGTTGTTGTCTCTCAAGCCCAGACCTTTCTTTTTACATGTTTACACCAACAACTATGAATGGGGCCAACACTGCATACAAGGGCGGATTAGGATTTTGTTCAGAGCAATGCAGTAA